ATCGAAAAAATGAGCAACTGGATTTAATTCATCTTACCAAGATCTTCTTTTTCATCTCTCTCCATGTCCATGAAAGCAGAGTTCGCAATAATGAACAGACAGATGGTAACGATAATGACACAAAAAATTAATTTCATGGTCTCTTATATCTGCAACAGAAGAGAGTGTTTGTTTTCCTAGTCAGCAACAACGATAACTTCCAGCCATAAAAACATTTTGATACTTGAATGCACTAAACCAGACCAACACGGACTTTTTCATCGGAGTTTTAGAATATTTTATATTTTTTTAAAATAGAATACCACAAAATTAATTCACCCTTTCCTACCGGCAGCAGACATGCTGTTCAACGCAGCTTTATTTTCTGTGTGAGTGTCTCATTTGAATTGGAGGAAATGAAATAGCGTCAGGTTCTTGACATGTTCATTTGAACATGTCAAGAAAACGCGATAACTCTTTTGTAAAATGTTCTCAAACTGGCTCTGGTTAAGTTTCTTGATTTGGAGAAATATTTTGGTGGGCTTTTAAACTAATGAAGATGTATAAACATCATTTAGGCCGTAGTTTAAGAAACTACTGGAAGTTAGTGCTTCATGACCAGAAACTTCTTTGAAATTCCCCAAAATCATTAAACCAAGCAGCCAAATGAAGAGAATGTCTTTATCGTCTGGGAAAATAAATGACATTCCTAGTGTCTGCAATACAGATCTTTCCAATCACTTTTCAGCTCTTAAAACATTGCGGAAAAGGTCCAGTCACCAGAAAAGCATTAAATCACCCTTTTTAACTATAGAAGGAAAAATTTGTTATTTCATCATATTTTGTGACAACAGGGACAAGGAGATTGAGTGGAACAGTCTGTCAAAATCAGATATGATCATCAAACTGGCGGACGCAGCCAAAAAATCGATTTCGCTCATGCTTTCTATATTGATAGACCCTTGTACCAAAGTAACCAAAACAAGGTTAGTTTTTCTAATCTTTTTTTAAAGAGTAATTAAATAAAAACGGTCGTGTGTGATCGAGCCAAATTTCGATATTTGAAACATCGAAATTCTGTCATATTCATGGCTTGCCTGCGTAAGTCGATAATTATCTGTGAATTTTCCTTTGCAATAACATTATAGTTAGGGTCTTGAACAATACATTGATGACATGAAAAGCAGATATGTTCTCGTTATCAATATTTTATGAATTTTTTTTCTCGATGACACCCTGCGGCTGTTTTTCAATAGCTCTATGGTACCCTAAGACAACTGGCAAAAACGCTTGGTACGAGAAGTAGAACCCAATAACTATATTACAGATACAGTTTAAGGATAGACGTTCTCAAATATACTTTCATTTTTTTTCTGAATATTATTCAAACGCTAATAGTATCAAGCAATTAATTCTCCCTACAAGAGCTATGAGCTATAATTTATTTCTAAAATTTTAAAATTAAGTGACCTCACTAATGTCAGATCAGGAGCCACGCCTCTAAGAATGTTTGGAAAATGGAGAAGACGATGAAATTGACGTTTAAGTGTGGGCCTTTATGGTACACTGTAAAAGTAAAAAAAATAAATGGGTTTAGATGGAAAGGAAGTTTCTTTATGGTAATTTATTTTTTTTCTAATTCAAAGTGCCAAAAATTCCAACTACGTGTCCACGTCTATCAATAATGGGCAATATGTTGCTCATTACGTAACCTACCTGAGCAGGTCAAGCAAAAAGCAAATCTTTGGGACTAGAACATTCAACTTTAGAAGGTCACTATGTTTAAGAAAAATATGGGTTCATTCTTCGCACGCAGTCAATATGTGGGTCTCCTTAAAATTACTTCTCCCAACATTAAAAAGAGTGCAGTCACGGCTTCGATGATACCTGGTATTCAATTGCATGACAGATCAGTCAAGTGATCGAAGACGCATGAAAGGTCCTCGATTATTGCAATGTGTCAAGTCTTTTTATTTCTACCAGCGCAACACTGAAAAGTGTTCTGATAGGAAATGTCGCCAACATGAAGCCGACTTACTTAACAAAGGTCGCTTGTGAAAAAGAGAAAGCAAA